TCTTGTTATCTTCATGCTGACAGTATACTTGCCATGAGAAATGACATGTCTGTTAGCTCTCTGACTACCTCTGCTGGGGCGCTGGGCCAGGCGGGCTGACGGGGCCTCGCTGGGCATCATCTCCAAGAGCACCGAGGCGGAACGCACGGACAACCGGGTCACACATAAAATGCCTTGTGTACTTGTTTGCTTCATTCTGTACTAATATGTCTCAAAGTATACATGTAGTAAGTAAGGAATACGACCAAGAGCCTCATCAGAGTTATACATGTAGCAATAAAGATGATGTGTGTATGTATACATCTATACACATATACATATATGCATATATACATATATGTATATACACATAAAATCATATTACTAGAACCTTAAACACAGAGCGACCAGGGGAGAGCGACACACGCACATACACACTCGCAGACAGAGTGAGAGGCCCCTGGGGGAGAGATCTGGGAATTGAAGTTCGGCGCGAAACTGTCTGGGAATTGAAGGTTTGCAAGGTTTGTAATGGTTGGTACGGTTGATAGGGTCAACAGGGTTGAGGGGCCTCTTGAACTTCAGATTGCTTTCTTGTTCGCTCCGCACTTTGTCCCGCCAGGGCACCATCCGCAGCGCCCTCGAGGCAAGTGGCCTGCTCAAGTTCTTCGACGCCCCGCTCGTGGCCAAGGTGAGAAGGGAATGAGAAGAGAAGGGGCATGTGCGGGCATATGCAGGTTAAGCGGGAACATGCGGGCGGACGATAAAAGGGGGCGCGAGTTGTTACCAGAGAGAGAGAGAAAGAGAGAGGAAGATCACGTGTGTGTGGTGTAAGCTCCGCTCCCTTCGCCTCTTGCAAAAGGCCGTGGGCTTCGAGGGCAAGGCCGGGAAGACAGGAAGACAGGAAGATGTTTTTTCTCCCCTTCGCGGACCCTGGGGGCAAAGTGCTGGGCAAAGTGCTGGGCAGAGTGCTGGGCAGAGTGTTCTCGGAGGCCGGCTTCATCGAGGACCTGGCCCTGCTCGGCTGGCCTGTTTAATTTCTATTTTGTTTGCCCCTCTTTCTTCTTGTTACTGTAGGTGCCAGCCCAGTGCTCACCGCGCGCATTTAAGGAAGGGCTGCCTGCCAAGACTGGGATCTACCAGAGGACACGGGGTCTGCCTGGCCAGTGTTGAGAGCAGCGCAGGGGCGAGAAAAGATTGGAGCACAATTCACAACTCCGATGAAATCACCAGCTACAACGAGAATTAATGGTAGGTCCTGGTAGGTTCTCTTCCCGTTTTGCAGGTGCCTTTCAGCCGCATTTTACTAGTCGACGACGACGTTTTGGAGCTCGAGCGAGCACGGACCCCAAGCCGACGAAACAGGCTTCAACTGCTTCTAGCTGCTTCTGACCTAAGGCAGGGCCTAATAGAGGAGGGTGCTCTTTTGAGGGTGCTTGAGCCTTCGACAGCCTGAAAATTGAGAGTTTGAGGATAAAGTGGTACTAATGGGTAAACAGAAGCGACTACAGCACGCCCAATGTAAAGCATAAGACGAGTGAGACGGTGCGTGTAAACGCTGACAGTAAGATCTGGCAGAAATTTTTCTTCTCAATCACCGTAGCGTGCTCGCCTTTTGTTGTTTGGCGCGTTTTGAGCTTGTGGCACACCGAGCCGCGGGCTCTTGGGTGGGCTTCCCAAAAGTGCGTACCACTCCGCCGGTGCAATGGTCCCCGTATGTCCCCGTCTTGCTCCCGTGCCCCTTCGTGTCGCTTTCAACAATGGGGATTCGTCGCACACGCACTTGTACCAGTTTTGCTCATCTTGGGACAAGGCCCACATTTAAGACAGGAGGTGCGCAGGTCACCGGTCCTGCCACACTGCCACTTCTTGTCCAACATCGCAGGAACCTTGTGAGGAGAGGGTAAGTGGTTTAGACTTCCCCACTCTTTTGGTCCACCCAGCTTTCAAATTTGTGTCATCCCTCTCCTCTTAGTCTTCTCTCCCTTTCGTTTAAGCCTTCCTTCTCCTTTTGCTCTCTCTTGTCGCGCCCTTCTCTCTCTCTCGCTCTCTCTCTCTCTCTCTCTCTTTCTCCAGCTGTGAGGCCAAAGCCCGTGGGCTCCAAGTCTACGCTGCGCCGGCCGACGGCGGGCTCCAAGAGGAGGCAAGCGCAACAGCAAGCGAGAGCAAGCGCGCCAGAAGTGAGAGGTCCTCAACAAACAGAAAGACTGTTGAAGGAGAAAGAGAGAAGGGACTTTTGAGAAAGGATTGTAGAGGAGGACTCTAGAAAAGGATGATGGACAGGAGTAGCCACCTCACCTCCCTTATATGGTCCTCTTGGCATTCAGCCGCAGTCTGACCCCGTCCTGACAAACGGCGCAGGACTTTGATGTCATTAGCGAGGCCCTGCACGTTCCTCGACCAAGGCGCCGCTTGCGCCTTCTGCAACACGGGGCGCAAAGCCGCCATAGGCCATAGGCGTATAGTTGTGGCACCGCCGTGCATGGAAGCCTCCCTCCTCCCTGCACTTAACCCTTCAAACCTGCGTAGAGCGGCGCTGCCGGCAGCGCTGGGCTGCGTTGTAGTTGTGAATGTACCAGTACTGTACCATCCGTTCGTTGCACATTAATGTTAGAGGCGGGCCATCTCTGTGATGTTGAGGTCTCATCCGCAACGTGCGACCATGACGCCACAACGCTTGATCATGGCACCGTCCAGACCTCAGAAGAAACGGCCGCTCGATGCCTCGATGCAGAGCAATGGCTTCACCTGACGGTTGGAAGTACCAAGAAGTGTGCAGTTGAAAAGTTGAAAAGTAAAGTCACAGTTGGGATGCCCACTGCAATGAGCACGGCTTGTGTGCCCTGTGATGAGCAGCTTCAAGCTTTTGTGGAGGTGCTCTCGGTATTGGCAATACCGCTCTCTTTTGCAGCATCCGCGACGAGCACTGTTGGTAAGAAGTTGTGTGAAGTTGTTGATGTCCCAGGGAGGGGGGGGGGTATGTCCGGTGCCCTGGGTTGCACTCCTTCCAACAGAGCTTGAACATGGCAATATCCATTCGAGCTAACCGTTCTAACCACTTTGCCGTTCGCCTCGGAGTTTGTTTCCTTCTTCGTCACGCTGAAGCCTTGGCTTGACAGGGCTTCAAGCGCCTAGGGCCTAGGGAGTTATTGTGGGAGCGCTGTAGTTACACGTTGTTTCAAGCTGAAGACAGAGGAATCTGGTGCGCCGCTCATGAAAGTCACATATTGAATATTGAAACGGGCAGGACTTTCTTCCCGGCTCTCATGGCTCTCAAGCTTCTTCAGAACAGCGTGGAATCGTATGCATACATATATGTGTATACATATATCGTGTTTTTGCTTCTCTTTCTCTCTTTCACTCTTTCCCTCTCCCTCTCCTCCATTTCTACGGCTTGTTGCTGGAACTCAATCGTCTCGGAAGGCCTCCCTTGGGTTGCCAGTGGTGATGTCGCGCCAAGTGACCAAGTGTTGCATGTCACATCCTGCCACCACACCGAGGCCTCTCGTGATGCGGACTCCTTCCTCCGCTCCGTCCTTCGGGTGTAGACGCTCCTCCGTGCGCCTGGCACGTGTTACGCCTCGTCAGTGTTAGGTGTGCATGCCCAGAGAGCATGGGGCAGCAGATCGGTACCAGAGCAAGGTACGCAGGCACGGCCGGAAGTCCATCAAGGAGGATACTCTTTCTCCGGGGTTCTAAAGAACCTTTACACATTCTTCCGGCGTTGCCTACGAGAGAGATACTCAAAAAGAAGCACACAAGACTGGCCGACCTGTTGAGAGGAGCAGCCTCTGCGACTCCCCTCGTTCAACGACTTTGGACGTGGAGGCCAGAAATCCCAGTCCACACACACACACACACCCCTTGCACCGGATTATCTATCTGTAATTCATGTTCATATATATATATATGTACATAAGTTATACTGCAATGTATTGAGAGATACATTATATGCGGGACGCTCTTTTGCTCTCAGAAGGTGTGCGGTCCCGAGCTCTCAATTCGTGCTCGTTCCTTTTCTTCTGCTTTTTGTCTCAGGGCGCTGGCGGAACGTGATCCTCTTCTCAGGAGACTGTTTCGAGGGCTGAGCGCATCCGCTCTCCAGAGTTGTTCCAATCAAGTACTGTAGTAGTCCTGGTAGTCCAAAGCCACTTATCAACCAAACACTCACACGCACACACGTATCAAGAAAGGCCCTCTCCCTGTTTAAACGCTCGGCGCTTCCGGCAGGGCGACCGGATTCGCACTCTTTTTACTGCCGGGAACCGCCAAGCGGTTGCCGGTGGCGTGCAGCAACAGACATGGCAGCTTTTTGAAGTTGGACCTCAACGCTGTGAGAACACGACCGGGAGCAGCATCCTGAGTGCCAATTGGCATGCTTGCGCATCTGCTGTGTCTGCCGAACCACCAAAGCTGATGCAGAAGCTACCCACACAGGTGGGGACTCATTTTCTAGGGCAGGTGACAGCCAGGAAGCCCATATCCGATCCATATCCAGTCCCATCCATCTCAGGATGGGTTGCACAGGGAGTGCACAGGGTACCTCGAGGTGTGAGAAGCCCTGGTTGCAACATAAAGACTGCAAAATCCCCTCTGGAATGTGGTGCAATTCTTGGTGTGTCTAGGGGGGCACCTCGGGCGACGCAAGGGCCCAACAAAAAATCGCGCAACCTCAGGGCAACCTGGGTTGCCTTCTCGTTGCTTCTTTTATGTGGAGTTTTGAGATGAAGTTCGGATCTCAGGTGCTTTTTCCAGAGGAGGAACGGTTAGACTAGTTAGAGTTCGTGAGCACTTCGGGGCCCTACAGCAATTCTATGAGACTATGTGACTATCTCCTCTGAGTCCCACGGGTGACCGTGAAACGGGACACCCATACTGAGGTCCCTTGAGGATATAAAAAGTTTCGCGGCTTTTTCCGCTTGATTTTGCCCGCCCTTTCTGATTGCAACTTCCTTGGTTTTGGACTCTTTCTGGGGCATCCTTTGTAAGGGGAACAAGCTCTTAAAAGAAGATGCGCAGAGGCCACCCCGAACACGGTGATGCTCTTGGGAGCAGGAAGTCTCCCTGCAGGCCTTGGGGCTCTGAGTCACTCTGTCTGTCTCTCTGTGGCACTCTCTGAGCCATGTCTGCCGTCCCGCAGGCATTGAAAAAGACATTGAGGAGCTGCAGAGAAGCTGAGAGCACTGCGAGCACAAGCACATGCGAGCACACTCTCCCTTTTGTCCCTTTTGTGGTTGCTCTCTTTCTTTGCTCTTGGGGAGAGGGAGAAGTAACAGAGATTAGCAGAGGCCGCGCAGTTGAGAGCTCTGTCAGAGGAGCAGGCCCGACAACTCTGCATCCAGCACTCGTTCAGTACGCCGGAAGAGGCTCAAGGCTGAGACACGTGAGACAAGTGACGAGAGCTGAGAACCTGCAGGGCTTTCAGCGGCTTCGGCCTACGAGCGTCGCTACGTGTGCCACAGTGCAATCTAAGGTTAGATACGTGTCCCAGTCCCTTGTTTTCATAGACTTCCCGTACCAGGAGGCTTGTGTCAATCTCAGCATCTTTGGTGTAGTGCATAGGCTCATAGTCATAGACTCTTCAATGGTCTCCAATGTGTGTGTGTGTGTGTGTGTGTGCGCTCCGTTGGCTCAGGTCGAGAGTTCTTGCGGGTCTCCAACGGCCAGCTGAAGGCGCGCGACTCAGAACGACAGCTCTGACCCAGCAACAACTCGGCAGCTTCCCCGAGGTACGGCAGTGGGTCTACAGATTGCAGCACTCCTCTGCTCGGAGCCTCTGAAGCATCTGGAGAGTCTTCAGCTGATTCAATTCCTCCTTCGAGGCGGGCGAGGCAGAGCAGGAAGCCACCCTGACGGAAGGCGCGCGAGATTTTTCGAGTAGAGGTGTTGTGAGAGAGTGTGTGTGGGGAGTCGAAGCAACTATATCAAACACTAGCAGCAATCACACCGAATCCGAGTCCGTGTGTGTTTGTTTCTGGTCGGGCGTGCGGACTGGTGCGTTGTGAGTGTAGTACTGCCGCGTGCTGTGGTAGTGTCCCGTGAGCGTCACATGCCGATGCTTTCGCTGCAATTTTGAGAGCACTTGCGGCTCAGGTGTCGAGGAGATTCCTTCTGACACCCTGATGGTGCGGCTAATAGGAGAGTTGGACGAAGCCCGAATCAAGAAGGCCTCCTTTGATTACAGATACTGATCCAAATTCTGCAAATTTCTGAACATGTGACGAATCTGTGACGAGCCTGTGTGAGCATGTCGAGGCCTTCCAATCTCACGTGCCGGTAGTAAAAGGCGTGCCGTCCCTAAAGAGTGGAATCGTGTCTTAAGGGGGCTCACCTTCATGTCTTGGTGAAAGCATATGAGCAAGAGCGCAGTGCGCCCCTTGTGAGATGATTCGTTTTGTGAGGTCCGCATGATGCTGGATAGATCGACCAGGAAGTCAAAGGCCGCTCTGCTTTGAGATGCTCTCTTTTGTGTCAGACGAGAGCCGCGGGTTGGCCGTTGCAGCTGTGGGGGTCCCGACTTGTGGGGACTTGGGGCGCTCAGGGCTTCTGCTTCGTGAATTTCTATTCTGTCAGCGACGCAGCGTGCCCAGTGCCAAAGGATGTCTCCGGATTTTGCTTGGGATCTCCCAAAGAGCGTTGGAAGTGCATTTAGCTGAGGCCATGACAGCCAAGAACCGAATGCTGGCTGCGGGGTCCATCATTGACTCGCGCAAGGTGCGTTGCCTCGACAGTGCTTCGTGCACCGCAGTGCACGGAACAGCTGCGCAGATTCTGGCTGCCATGCTTCTCAGGTGGCCATCAGCTTCGCCAAGCCTCAGACGCAGGAACAGGCCGGGAACCCACGGAGACGAACTCCACCACTCATCGTTCCCTCCTTGCTGCTGAGGCTCTGGAGAGCGACATGAATGCCAGAGCAGAGCAGGACGTGATACAGGCAGCAGATCCGCAGAGTCGAGAGAACGGCTAGCGGCTATCGGATATGCACCGATATGATCGGCTATCGATGGAGAATGTGGAGATTCCTTTGTTTAAGGCCCAGGCCAACCAGGCCCTCAGCGGCGTGAACGCCGAGATGTGTCTCGGCTCTGGGAGTGTGGGAGAGTACAGAGAGAAGCAAGCCTATTTCAGAGAGAGCAAGACACGCAAGACACACAAGAAGAGACACCTTCAGATGGCCCTCTCGCTTGTTGCACGTGCACTGTTCTCATGCCTCCCTTGCCAAGCCCGGGAGAGAGAGGTGGTCTTCCTACATGCAGTTCTGCCAGGAAGAGAAGGCCTCCCGCCCCCCCCTTCGGGCCTTTTCCTTTTTCTGGAGCCTTATTGTTCGCGCTTAACTGCGCTTTTTCTGCGCTCCAAGGAGAAGGAAAGCAGAGAGAAGCAGGCGCCGTGAAGAGAGAGAGAGAGAGCTCTCCAACTCCCCACGAGTTGGAGAGACTTGGAGAGTGCTCTCAGTGCTCTCTCTCTCTCTCTCTTCCCTTTCTCTCTCTCTCTTGTAGGTTCGACTCTCTTAGAGTCCTAGACGCCTTTTCACCTGGTTCAATTGAGGCCCTGCTGGAGGCCCTGGAGGCGAAGAAGCGCGCCTTGGCCCTCCAGGCCCGCACCGCGGCGCCCCGAGCGACGTTTCGTTGCCATGGAGAGAAAGGAGCAGAGGGAGCAGAGGGGGGAGGGGGGGGGCTTGTAGGGGGCTTCAGAGATTGTTTGATTCCCCATATTCCCCCCCTATTCCCCCGCCCCCCCCCCCCCCGCCCCCTACATGAGAGGACATAATGATAATCGTATTGCTTCCTTCTAAAGGACTATTGGGATATTTGGGGCGAGGGGGGGTGGGGTGGCGGCTCGAATCTATCTCTTTTGCTTTCCGCCTTTCCGCCTCCCGCTTTCTCTCAGGCTGCCAGCATGGAGTCCGAAGCCGACGGCCTGCTCCCGTAAGAAGAGGTATGCGATGTGATTCACGCGGCGGCGCGAGAAAAAGCTCTGAGAGATCCGACAGGCACCAAGAGGGCAAGAGGGGGTGGGGGGTATGTAAGTAAGCAATGCTCACGCTCGCCGTCATACTACACACTCCGGCCTCCCCGCCGACCAGAAAAACAAATTACAAACTCCTTGATACATTGAATAATCTAGTAGCATTAGTAACCAGTTCTAATTCAATTGTTAAATTTCCCATATACTTTAAAGGTAAATACTTAAACTGACTGAATAAACCACATAGAGGCTTGAATCCAACAGTCATTTTATCCTTAAAGCCTTGACAAGTTAAACCATTCACTTCATATTTTAGTCTTGTGTTATTGTCACTAACGAGAGTTTTAATTTCATCATCATATCTATAACCAAAACCTTCATTTGCTTCATCTTTTCGTGCTCCTTGTGACATCATTTTAGAGAACATATGATGAACTCGGTTATAATTATCAAAATCTTCAACAACCTGATTACCAGCAATAATTCGCATTCTTCTGAAGAAACAATAAGGAGGAGATAATGGACGGAGTTTGTTATTATATGTTCCAGGGTCAAGATTTTGTAATGTAAAAAATATTCTTACACTTTGGGGGTCTAACCAAGCATTATCTTTGCAAAACAGGCAAGGCGAGCTACAAGTGTGCCAATCTGACAAGGAGCGTGCGGAGCACAGCGTACGAAGGCTTCGATGGCAAGTGGGCAAGGTGTCAGAGGAGCTCACTTCACTCCAGCAGGCGTATGAACGGAAGGACTCGGGCCTGACAAATTCCGAGATGCGCCTGTCGGAGCTGCAGAGCGAGGTGGCCGCTCAGAAGGCTAACGAGGTGGAGATGGAGGCGGGGTCCCAGTTTCTGGAGGGTTGAGGATGGGGATGGTTGCAGACATGAGGTTTTGTCTTTTTGGGTGATTCTATGATGTAACCCGCAAGGATTCCCCTAAAGCCTAAACCCTAAACCCCAAACCCCAAACCCCAAGCCTTAAACCCTAAGCCCAAACTCCAACCCCAACCCTAAGCCCTAAACCCTGCAATGTTTCTATGGTTGTTTTTAGTTTGAAAGAGATGTTCTGGAGCTGTAGTTCCGACCTTTTACTATAAAAAAATTAATAAAATATCATTGTTAATACTATATTTAATCAAATAGTTTAAATTTATATGAAATTTCTTTAATATTTTTCTTTTTGTTCTTAATATCTTTAACTATATCATTTCTTCATTATCTTCAACAAGTTTACGTATCTCTTCGTAGCTGTTCTGTCTAAATTTTTTTATCTGGTTTTAGTTTCTCTAACTTTTCATAAGTGCTAGATTTATAAGCAAACATTATTAATATTATTGAGAAATTTAATTAAATTGCTGCAAAAACTCTTCTTGTGTTATTGGTAAGTTGCCTGGTTTATTATGAACATTACCTATATCTTGATATGAGCGATTTTGTAATGGGTCTAATGTTCCCCTATTTAAGGTTATACTGCCTTTATCAAAAGCACTAACGGGGTCTCCGGCTTTTCTTGTTCTTAGGTTTGTCCCCGCGTCTTCCGGTCTTTGATTTGAAACAAAAGGAGAACCATAACTGCGACTTCTAAAAATATTACCATAATCATTGTTTATTTGTTGTCCCACTGCCGAGCCGAGGCTATGTGAAATAATATCAGTTACACCTGTGAGTTTTTTTACCATCAATTTCAATAGCACCGTCTTTAATGAAGTTATCAACATCTTGATATCTTTTGGTATGTCGTGTCTGATAGAGCGGTAGCTTTAAATCGTCCCACGTATCCTGTGCTGATTTGGTTCCTGCTATATATAATAGAACCATTTTGATATATTCCGTCAGGATTTTCATATGCTAATTTAAGTCCTTGCATGTCCGTTAAGAACGTTTCAGCACCTGCTAATTCTTCCCTAACATCGTCATGCATCTTATTTCTTGTAATCGGTGGTTCATATAGTATTCCCTCATTTCTTCTTTTATGTTTATGCATTATAAAATAAGTTATAAATTATTTTATCAACTAATTAATAATGCTGAAAGTTCGCAAAGCTACTTTAACATTATATATATATATATATATTATCTATGATAATATATAAAATGTTGAAGTTCAAAAAGTATATATTGATAGCAGTTATAAAGTGAGTGGCACTCCATCTGAATTCACGCTTGATTTACCTGAAACGGTGCAGTTAGAAGACAATATGCTATGTCAAATTCACGAGGTAAGCATTCCTCATTCTTGGTATTCAAAAAACAGCACCAACAACAATTTATATTTTATGCATCAAGTTATACCACCAGGTGTCATAGCGGGTATAACTTATCGTAAAATAACAATTCCAGAAGGTAACTATACAGCGGTAGATTTAGCGCAGACAATTGCAATCGCTTTGAATTTGTTAGTAGATACGGTGGACAGACCTAATACATATTCAATACAGTATAACACATCAACCAACAAATATACTTTCTCATCAAATTATGCCACTGTTATTTTTGTTGTTTTAACTGATGGAGAAATAGCACCATTAGCAGGTAGTTTTAGTGACCCCGTTGATGTTAATAATTTAAGTTCAATAAATAGAGTGATAGGTAACACAACACCCGCCACTGATGCTTATACAAATGTAGCGCCTTACACAACAAATTTTCTTGACCTAACGCCTGTAAAAAACATATACATACATTGTAATGAAATTAGCAACTACAATCAATTAACAGTGGCAGGTAATTCATCAATAGTAAAGAAAGTTCCCGTTAATGTTCCCTATTTAGGTATCATTAATGATAATGAATTAAGCGCCGAAGATTATATTAATGTATCAGGTAAGATGTTAAGAAGACTTAACTTTCGTATTAGTGACCATCTTAACCAAAATATAAATTTAAATGGGGTGGATATTTCATTGACCTTAACATTTTTTAGGGGTTAATAAATATCTAATTAGAAAAATATATACTATATTAAATAATGAGTAACGAAGAGGTTGAAGAGGTTACAAATGAAGAAGCTACTGAAATAACAACTAATGAAACAGAGCCTGAACATATACCTATTGAAAATATTGAAGAAGAAGCAGAACCAAAAAGTAATGAAGTAGTTGAAGAAGCAAAACCAAAAGCGAAAGCAACGCCTAAGAAATTAGCCAGAAGTGTTAAAGTAGTAGAGTTAGTTGAATGTCAGGCTTGTAATAAAAAGAAGTTACCCAAATCTCTAAGTAACACCCACCCACATTATTGCAAGGGACAGCCAACGGAAACATTACCAGTGAATAAGCAGAAGGCAAGTTACGGGACCAAGGTTGAAGAAAAACTAAGGAAAGAAATTGAAGCGGAAATTGAAAGCAAAATATGAAATCAAAGAAAACGATAAAAACGCTCAAAATGTCAAAAATGAATTTGTGCAATATAGCCAACCTATTGAAGTGAAAACAAAAACAAATCCAAGTGTGCCAAGTGTGCCAAGTGTGCCACGACAACTAACAGCAAGAGAACTATTAGAAGCATCTTATAATGAAATAAGAAGAGCAAAAAGAGAGGAACATATACAAAAGATTAACAGCTTTAAATCAAAAATGTTTTAATTGTTAATATTAGTTTTAATCTAAATAATATTAGTAATATGAGTATGTTTAAAAGTAAACCAGAGTTTAAGAGAATGCCACAGGTTCAACAATATTACGATGTTGAAGATACATTCGGTGTTGCTTCCCGAAGGAAACAAATTGAAGACATGAAATTAAGAGTTGAAGAAGCCGAGAACAGAGGTAAAAAACATTGCTTTAAGAAACGATTGGGTGAAGCATCAGAAGGAAAGTTTATATCAAGGTGAATTAGATGACATAAACAGGCAGTTAGAGCGTCCCATGATGCCAGAAAGAACAGTAGAAGAGCTAAAGAAGCGTCAAAATGAACTTAAAACAATAATGAAAGAAGTAATTTAAATCCAATTTTAAATATAATAATGATTAAAACATTAAAGTCTGATTTAAATTACGACCTACTTATGATGAAATGATAGGTATGATTGAAAGCCAAGGTGGTGAAAACAGGCCACCTATAGATAAAGTAATTGATAGAAGAGCTACATTATTTAGAAATATTCAGTTCGGCAGTCAGTTTGATAATATTGATTTTCTAGGCTTGAAGAAACAAGAAGAGGATAAAGTGAAAAATGAAATGCGCAAATTGCAATAAACACAACATGCAATGGGCACGGGGTCTTCAATGGGTATTGTCTCATATCAGGGGACGAGTGGATACACTACGCCAATAGAAGAAGTTCATGAAGAATGCAGCCATGATGCAGACCACATTAGAGATATAGATGTTGCATTACAAAGGTTGAAGGAATTATCAGAACAAAGAAGGCACATAGAAGATGCTAAAAGTGATTTAGATGATGTTCATCATCAATCATTACCAGCAGGTGTTGAGGTTCATTCAATGGATGTTCCAGTTCAAAGTAACCAAGGTTATCCCCCCCCATTACCAGCGCCGCCACAAGCAGAGGATAGTGAAGAAGACGAAGAAATAACCGCATTAGAACAAAAAGTAGCATACACACACAGTTTTGACCCTGATGAAGTCCTCACTGATGATAGCGTAACTTATAGAGGTTTAATGTTTCAGTTATTTGTTAGAGATTTATTAACAGATGAAATGGTAGATGTATTAAATAAAATACCAACGGACCAGAAAAAGAAACAATACCTAGTATCAATCACAGACGGTCACAAAAATTTAGATGAATGGAACGCAGAGTTTGACAGCGCTAAATTAAGTCGTAAGAAAAAATTGTTCATGAGAGAACGAAGGCGTGTAAAACCAAAAACTGTTGAACCCTCAGCTAGTTCTACATTAGTCCCTTCACAACCATCATACCGGTGTAAAATGCAAGTAATAATATTCAAAATGTTATTATTAGCTAATGATGTATTTCATAAATTATCATGTAACTAATAATAT